TCCATTTGCGCATCTATTATCTCAACTAAAGAGGGAATATTCTCAAGCCTATGCACGCAGTCCTTCAAAGTTAGGGAAGGTCCGTCAACAGGATCCATGGGGCTTTGCCTCCATGGTGGCCACATTTTACTGGGGCCTTGCTCCCAGCTGGCGTTTTTCCTGTTTCCAGGTCCCTTTTACCTTACTTTTACTAGTGATTGTGGCTTCCGGCAGCTCTCCATTCTGGAATAATGAATATGGTAGGCTCTTTTTTGCAAGCAGCATTTCACATTGCTCATTTATAAAATGCAAGGTGTTTTTGTGCAATATAAAACATTAAGTCAATTTGCCTACGGTTTATAAGTAGTCTTTAAGTAATTTCTAATCTTTTGCAGATCAGGTGGAAAATTCCTTCTAAGCCTGACTGCTTAAGTCTTTCTACTGTTTAGAGTGTTGAGTCAATTGGATATTCATATTAACAAAAATGAATTTTGACTATTATAATGAAAATGAAACAATAAAGAATTTCTAAGAAAGAATAGAAGAATATTCTCATGACCTTAAGGTAGACAAAATCTTATTCAGTGTTCCAAAAGCTCTGAACATTGAGAAGTATAAAGGAGAAAATTGATTAAACACCATTGAAATGAAGAACTTCTCATTATTAAAAGTACCTTAAATAAACTTTGATATTTTCACACAGTGGAATACGTTTATGAGACTTATATGATTAGAATTATACCCAACAACCTGAATGAATCTCACACATCTAACACTGAGTGAAAAAGGAAATCTATAAAATTATATACCATACAATTCCATTTGTATAAACTGGCAAAAACTAATCTAAAGTTTTGAAAGACAGAATAATGGCTACCTTTTATCTGGAAAGAGAGGATAGGAGGGCAGCTTCTCAGATACTGGTAATGTTTGATTTATTTATCTGTGTGTTGATTACATAGGTGTGTTCACTCAGAAAAAAATTCTTCAAGCTGTACATTTATTATGTGTGTATTTTTCCATCTTTATATTATATTTTTAATCAAAAAGTTTATATGCATTAGAATATGTATAGAGCAGACTTCCTTTTGTGTAGAAAAAGGATATGTTATTCATACATGCTTGCTCTCTGCGCGTAAAATATCTCCCTAAGTTATGTAAGAACCTGATACCATTGGTTACTTAGGGTGATGAAAGCCAGGATGGAAGGGAGGCTTTTTTAGATCTGCTTAAGATAAGTCCATAAGCCAGGCACGGTGGTTCAGCCTGTAATCCCAGCACTTTGGGAGGTGGAGGTGAGAGGATTGCCTGAGCCCAGAGGTTCAAGACCAAACCGGACAAGACCTCATCTCTACAATAAATCACAAAAGCTAGTCAAGTGTAGTGGCATGCATCTGTAGTTTCAGCTACTTGGAAGACTGAGTCAGAAGGATCGTCTAAGCCCAGCAGGTAAGAGGCTGCAGTGACCGTGATGTGCCACTGCATTCCAGCCTGGGCGAAGAGTGAGATTCCAACTCAAAAAAAAAAAAAAGATAAGTTCATAAAAGATGGGCACATCCTACACTTCATGCTTTAGAACTCCTGTAAATGGTGCTTATTCATTACTAATTTTTTGTTATTATAAGAACATAACTTGATGTATCATTTGTACCTAAGTTTAGGTAAGATTTGACATGAATTAAACTGGTAAAATGAAATCAGTGGTATGTGTTCCCTTAAAGCTTGCAGATATGTGAATACATATTTCAGGAACTCTGCATAGCATTATATTTCCATGGTAACTGGGTCAATGGGGGTGCTGTTAGCTGAGGACATTAACTTGATCACTCTGGAAAAATTAAGTAATTCAGGTGCCAAAAAACTAAATGCATCTGCTCACTATCAGCATTTAGCAGCTGTTACCAATCAACATGGAGATTTTGTTGAGGTATGAGGCACTGATATCCGGGAGTCTATGAACAACTCTGATTTGTCATGCTGCGGTTTTGTCTCTAGGCTTCTCTTGTTTAGTATCACACAAATGGCTTTTATGTTGCAGTCAGTGAATGACAGGTGTTCTACCTCTGCTTGCCCCATCCTCTACCCTTGAAAAGATTGGTTGTCATCAGGATTATTTCTTGGCAAGCAACCACCTGACATAAATAAATTCTTCTGATTGGTATAGTTGACTGCTTTCCTTTGCTTCTGAATTAAAATAAACATGTTTATTTAAATAATTCTGATTTGCTAACCACCCAGAGTAAGTAGAAATGACTGATAAAATACACAGATTGCTCTCTTATCTTTTCCCACTGTTTTAGCATTCTTTCTTAGGTGATTTGTTTGTTTTCAGATCTGTTCTATCAAGACCTTTCATATTCCAGTTCTTCTAAAAGCATTCTGTCTGTCTCCCTCCGATTTGGTCTTGTATGTGGTGGTGTTGTTCTTCCTGCCAGTCATTAAAAAAACAAAACAAAAAAAAACTGTCTACCTGGCTTTAGAACAAGAAATCATCTGATTGAGTTACAGTTGTTGCTTTAAAAAGAAATTGTTTTTAATGGTGTAAACAGAAAAATTTTAGTTTAGAAAACTAAAAAATGTTCAACTGTGTATACTGTGTATATGCTAAATCTTTTTTTTGTTTGTTTTTTGAGTCAGGGTCTCACTCTGTCACTCAGACTGGAGTGCAGTAGCATGATCATGGCTCACCGCAGCCTCAACTTGCACAGTTCAGGCAAGCCTTCTGCCTCAGCCTCCCAGGTAGCTGGGACCAAAGGCGCTCACCAACACACCCAGCTAATTTTTTTTTTTTTTTTTTGAAGAGATGAGGTCTCGCTATGCCATCCAGGCTGTTCTCGAACTCCTGGGCTCCAGCAATCCACCCACCTCGGCCTCCCAAAGTGCTGGGATTACAGGTGTGAGCCATCATGCCTGACCTGAATCTTTTATTAGTCAAATTTGTCTTTTATTTCCTATAGTCCTTCTATATATGATTTTGCTTTTTATATTTTTATTTGTGTTACACTGTTATTTCAGTGGAAATTTCTGAACCATTTCCAAAGATCTTCCTTAAAAAGGACTGTGTATGATAGGATGTGACTTCTTAAACTACTTACTTACATGCTCTCGCATGTAACAAGAAGAGTATTAAGTTCCTTCTGGCCTAAATAGGAAATGATTATAATATAGAGATGTTATTACCTGCTGTATCTTCTTGTTATATATGTTTGACCCAGAAAGAATACAGAATCTTTTTGATGTTCTTGTATATCTTGCAATTTGGTGGACCCGGGAGTTGCCTGTTGCCCAGCTCCTTGCATTTTCATTGATCAAGATGTTCTGCTTTTCTCCTTTTCATATTGTCATAGGTGGAGGAGCTGCTGATGGCCATGGAGAAAGTGAAGCAGGAACTGGAATCCATGAAAGCAAAGCTGTCCTCTACCCAGCAGTCTCTGGCAGAAAAGGAAACTCACTTGACCAACCTTCGGGCAGAGAGAAGGAAACACTTGGAGGAAGTTCTGGAGATGAAGTAAGTGTTTGCGGTCTATTCTTCAAGCAGATGCTGAGTAGAAATACTCTCCTCGCTACTCTCATCTTGTGGCTCCATTTATTGCCCCAACCCAGTTAGCCCAGTTTTAATGCTCACTTGTCTTTCTCGCTCTCCAGAAAACATTTGGTCGAGGATGGAACAAGTCCTGGTCAAATATAATTCTTTTTGCCTCTGCTTTAATGGATTTTAAGTTCTCTGGAATATATGTAGGTAGTTTGCCACAAGTTTTTCTTAGTGGTGATTTGTAGAAAAACAGGAAATACTGTGACCTGTGTCTAATTGCCTATCTAAAATTCCTAAAACTCCCTGGAAAGGTCAGGCAAATTGCTGGGGACTGTTGGTTCTGAGGTCACATGATGACTAGGCAATTTTTAAACCTATTTTTTATTGTAAACATTTTCAAGGTACACAAAAGTAGAGAGAATAGTATAATGAACCTCATATACCCATCCTCAAGATTCAACCATTATTATTTTTCTATACTGGAAACCAATTTTTACAAACTTGTCACATATAACGAACTTTGCTGTTATATCACTTTCCTACTTTCCTACCTCTTGTGCGTTGTTAAGATTATAATCCATTGTGAAGCATGTGTATGTCTGCTAACACATAACAGATGCTTCTTTTTCTTCTCTGTGACCTTCTGTTTAGAGCAAGCATGTCTCTTTTGAAAATCAATAACACTGTCTCCTTTACTGTTCCCAACCCTTACCCTGACCTCAAGGCCTTATTCTTATTTTACTGAAACCAGGCCTATTCTGGGATCCTTCAGTTGCCTTCACTATGTCAGCTATTATCTGTATTTTTACTGTTTATTTTCTGTCTCAGAAGAGAGGTTGTTTCTCCTTCATTAAACCAGCTTCTTATCCCTATCACAGATTTTAAGCATGAGTCTTCTCCTCTGCAGTCTTCCTCAGTCTGTTCTCTTTTACACAATCCTTATTCACTTTCTGTTAGCTCCTCTGTGTGTGCATAAATACACAGTCTATCTTTGGACTAAAATAAGCAAACTTTTTTCACCCTAACTAGTATCTTAATCTGGAGTTGCCTCTTCTTTCTGCTACTTTGGACTATCAGTAAACTTTGAATACCTGCATAAAATAACAGCAAAGGGTCTTGCCATAATATGTTAGCATGAGTTTTCATGGAACATGATTATTGTAATATGTAATAGCAACCCAAGAGTTGTGGAAGCAAGTGGGTCACAGTGCAAGGGTAGGAGATTTTACCCCCTCAGAAGAGCATTGCAAGTGATATGCTCTTGGAAGTAGTGAGTTAGTGAAACCAGAAGTAGGTTGACCTACTGGGAAAATAAGGAGAGGTTAGAGTTCTGACTATCTTCATGAGAAAAAAGGTTGCAAATATACTTGTTAGGAGCATATTTGATAGGGGCCTAAGACAAGTTTTTTGTCACTGGAGGCAAAATTCAAAACTTGCTCTTTTGGAAGTAAAGTAGTAGATACAAATCTTTGGTGGTAGAGAGTAAGATCAATCAATTTGAAGAGGCCTAAGAACCGTTCCTAAAACATAGTGGGAGATAGCTAAGAAGAAAAATCAGGTCCCAGAGTCACTAAGAAAATGGAGGGAGGATGGAGAGAATGTTGGAGAAAGCAAGATCTTACATGTGATATTCTTAGGGAGAAATAGACCTTGTTAAAGCACCAGTATGTAAGTTTTGCTTTGTTTTCTCTAAGTACTCCACTCATCAGATCTTTCCCACCCAATTCAAATAACTATTGGAGCAAAAGAGTATTACATGTGTATAAGAAAGTCCCTTTATTATTAGGACTTTGAGATGAATTGAAAGAATATTTTAAAGAATGCGTGAATGAAAAGAGAATTTGTATGATTTTTCTTTTTTTTCAGTACCACAGTACAAACTTTATTATGAACTTCCCTTGCCAAGTTTGGCAATTATATTTGTAGAAAATACTGTGATTAGCAAAACTGTTATTGGTAAGATCAAATCTCACACAATAAGACATGGGATAATTAGATACAGAAGAAATGTATAAACAATGTAAGTTTCAAAAAGCAAGCATTTAATAAAAATTCTAGAAATAAAGTATTAAAACCTGGTTCTGAGGGATGACCACTTTCTTAAATCACCTTTTTAAGGTAAAGATACTCAGGATATATTACCATGCCATCATAATGTTCTTAGTCAGATTTTCCTCAAGTTTTATGTCATGCATGTTGTACTATCTTAAAGTTTTAAAAACATTTCTTGCTTAAATTTGCACTTAAATTTCCCCTTGTTGTCGTCTTTCATTTTCATCTTGTAAGATGCTTATCTAATACCTTCCTTTAAATAAAATATCTCGGTGCTTTCAGGCCAAATTCTTTATTCATATATTCTATTGAGAAAGTGGCAGTTCTTAACTTCTGTTTAGACCAACCTTCATGCTTCTACCAAGAGCAAGGAATGACAGTTATTCTTTCCTCTAGAACAGTAATTTGAAATCCTAAACTCTTTAAAACGTGGACCTCTAAAGTCTGCCATACAAATACATTGTTCCATAGAAATTCTACTAAAAACTGTGCAATTAACCTAAGTGTTATTATACACAAGACACTATAAATGGCATATTATGAGTTCTGTTACAGTAAACTTTCAGTTCTGTTTTCACTGTGAAGCTGACCAGTGGAATAGTGTTTCTTCTATTATATTCTGGACTCCTCTTCTTCATATTATAAACAAGTTCTGCTGATTATCTGGCCTGGGTTTTGGTGTCTCAGTGTCTTACAATTTGCTCAGAATTTACTTTATTCTGTTGTTAATGTAAGGAAGTTTATTCCCTCCCAGTAGCATGATATGTGCTTCTAATTATTCATGGTGACTAGTATATATATATATAGTAACTTCTTGCAATAAAAGCCTGAATCTGAGTTCTAACTCTGCCACTTACTAGCTCTATGACCTCAGCAAGTTATTTAACCTCCGTATGCCTCAGTCTTCTCACTTTCAAAATGGTAATAGTTGTTCCTATTTCCATAAGAGTTTTCTTGAGAATTAAATTTAAAAATGCTGATGTATTGAATTAAGAACAGAGTCTGGCACAGAAAGCACTTAATATACAGCTGTTACTAGTTTGCTACAAGATTTTCCTAGTGATGATTTGTAGGAAAACAGAAAATTATTTATGTAAAATTTCAGAGGAGAAAGGCAGTATCATCCTTGTGACTATTGGCAATAACACCAGATTTTTTACTCTGTAGTCATTTTGGGACCCACCATATATTAAAGGTTTAAATTATGTAATTACTGATAAAATGAACAAGCAAAATAACTTGCTCAGTATTACTAGAGAACTTGAGAGGTAGGAGTATGAGGGGAGTGCAGTGTGCAGAGACTGAAACATGCCTATGTGTGACTCTGGACCTATAATAAGAAATGGTCTTCCCTGTGGAAAAGGTAGTTGGCCCATTTGTATAGAAAACTCTTCAGTATAGTACTAGAATAGTCTGGTTTTCTGACCTCATCAAGCCAAGACAAATGAATTAATAGTTCTTTTCCATTCTTAGCATTTATGATTGTACTTTTGAGCGTCTGTTACAGATAAATGGTGGCCATGAGTTTGGGGAGATGTAAAACAGTTCACTTGGTGGCCTGCCAGTGGTTCATTAGAAACATTTGAGTTGGTTAGCCAGCCCTGAAGAGAAGGAACATTTTTATTGGCAGATCCCACAGTGGTTCTTCTTTTCCTTATGCTGTGGTTTTGTTAGCCATTATTTTTTTATTCCACTTTTATGTTAGCCTCTTTCCCTTAAGAAGGGAAGGATGAAAAGGAGCAGGGGAAAAATAATAAAATAACAACTGTAATAACTGTAATAAATTTTAAGTATCAGTTGAGGTCATGAAGTTCACTGTGAAGAATTCTAGATGAGCTTGTTCAATCTCCACTGCTGTGCACTCAAACTCCTCCTGCAGTCCCACCCTACATTAGCATTCAGAATAAAGCTTAAAAGATTCATTTTTCATTTTTAATAGAATATTCGTCAAACTATGAATTTTACTGCCCTGAGAAATGGTTTGGTCAGGAAAGGGGTGGCAGACCTTTTTGGTTTCTTCGAGAATCCAGAGTTTTTCAATGGATAGCAACCTGTAGCCAGGCAGTTTTAAGTCATTCAAAGAAAGAAACCCAAATAGTAGTAGGATTGAAACAAATCATTGTATTGGTTGGGAGCTTAAAAAAGAAATAAGGAATTATAAAATAAAAGATAGTGTCAACACACAGGTGAAAAATAAAAGTATTAGAATCTCTTGAACTAACTAGACAAACATGTTTAGAAGACTAGTATTCTCTTGAGATGAATAAAGCTGGCAGAGAAATTCAAATATCTATGGGTTAAATTACATACTCATGGGATGTTTTTTTTGGGGGGGGTTGGAGTCTCACTCTGTCACCCAGACTGGAGTGCAGTGGCCGCTCCCGGCCACCGCAGCCTCGACCTGCTGGGCTCCGGCGATCCTTCCGCCTCAGCCTTCCAAGTAGCCGGAACTACAGGCGTGCGCTACCATGCCCGGCTAATTTTTATTTTATTTTATTGTAGAGATGAGGTCTCGCCTGCCCAGGTGGGTCTCGAACCCGCGGGCTCAGGCAATCCACTCACCTCAGCCTCCCAAAGGCGCGGGATTACAGGCTGAGCCACCGAGTCCAGCTAAATTATATACTCATGGGATGTTTTTTGGGTACAGAACGGTCTCCCACAAACATTAAATTTTCATTTGTAGCTAAGAAGAGTCCTGTATGATAATCTGAATTCTGACATTTAAAAAATTCTTGCCTTTTAAGGGAGAAAAGTAGAATGCACTTGGGATGAAGAGAGCTGTAGAAAGTAGCTGTTGGAAAATGTTTAGGCTATTTGGGGATAGTATAGTTGGGCAATCAATCTGTTATGCCTTAAATAATTAAAATTAAACTGTATCTTAAATTATTTTACTTCCTGATATGCTTTGGTATTTTATTTTGAAA